AATTGCTACGCTTATCATTTTAATCCCAAACTCAGGATTTTTAACCTACTTAATTTTACAAGAATTATCATATTTTTCTTATATTTTTCCGAGCACCTTTCTGGTACGCGTTTTTCATAGCCAGTACCAGTTTCTGACACCAGTTCTCATCATTTTGACTTGAAACTCGTTTTACAAGTCTTACCAATTATTCTAGTAATTATCATGCACTTATTATAATTTTCTGGGATACTTTTTTGGTATGCATTTATACGGACTAGCAAAACCGGTATCTGCACTTTTCTTCCGAAAAGCGACTTTCAGCATTCTTAATCACTTACTATAATTATTAGAGCCTCATAATAATTATTAGGGTCGATTATGAAATTATTTCCTAATTTCACATAATTAATTAATTAACTTCCTTAATTAACGGTGCAGGTTCTTACAAAAACACATCATGCATATAAATCATCCCCCCATGGGACATGGTGGAACATACAATGGCTAAACCGAGGACACGAAAGCTTACCTTGCAAGCTAACAATCCAAGCCAAGTCCACACAAGCTCAATGTCCACTAACAACACAATCACAATCTGTTTGGACCAATAATAATATCAATATTTATACTCTACAAGCATACGATATAAAGACAACGCATTTCCTTTGCGTTCCAAGTCTCAAGGCTTCTCACAAAGCCACAAGCCCTTAATCACTTGATTCTGACTTAACTAATTATTACAAAGGTTCAACATAACCCATCATGGGTCAACAAACCCATAAATATCGTTTTGTATGAACAGAACAACTTCTGTTCTTCGAAAACCCAGAATATCCGGATATTTGTCGGGGGCATATCCGGATATCAATATCCGGATATCTGTCTGGCAATATCCGGATATTCAGAACCCCATATCCGGATAACAATATCCAGATATTTTCAACCCAATATTCGGATATTTCGCGGCAGAACCCAAATTCTGCATTTCCGCAAGATATCTTTCCCAAGGATCCATTTTTACCGATTACAGAAGCTAACAAATGCATTTCTACGTGTGTTTAAGCTTACCCAACCTTAAGTTATGATCTTTTGCTCATTACATGCATCAAGGCTTCATTTTTAGCAAAGGAAACACAAGGTCATGGCTGGTGACACTTACCCAAGACTCAAACAGAGTAGCAAAGGCTCATGGAGCTCAACAAACAGCCCCCAAAGTCCAGACCTCAAGGGTGCACGAAAATGGCACACAAGACTAGGTTTTCCTTCACAAAGGTTGACACTTGGAGCTTCAACAACCAAGATAATGGCTTTACACTCCACCAAACCAAAAGTCAGCACCAAAAACTCACCAAGGCAGTGGCCACAACCCAGAAACAAGTTCCACAACTTACCCCCAATGGTATACCTCACTCACATCAAGTGTTTAGGAGAAGATTTCATGAAGAAATGGCCTCTAGGCTCAAGAAATGGGGAAAGGAAGGCAATGGAACAGTGGGGAAGGGCTGATCAGCCACCAAGTCACGTAGGGATATTGTATGGCCTTGGGTTTTGGGCCAACAATGCATATATATAGTGCTTTAAGTCTTAATCGCACAGTATTAGTGCTAATTGCTACGCATAGCATTTTAATCCCAAACTTAGGATTCTGAACCTACTCATTTTACATAGCCAGTATCAGTTCTGGCACTAGTTCTCATTATTTTGACTTGAAACTTGTTTTACAAGTCCTATATATTATTATAGTGACATATACACACTTTTCGTAATTTTCCGGGATACTTCATCGGTACGCATTTATACCGAGTAGCAGATTCGGTATCTGCACTTTCGTCAGAAAAGCGACTTTCAGCATTATTACTCACTTACCATAATTATTTAAGCCTCATAATAATTATTAGGGTCAATTATGGAATTATTTTCTAATTTCACATAATTAATTAATTAACTTCCTTAATTAACGGTGCAAATTCTTGCAGTTTTCATGCGCGATGGGGGCATCGCGTCGCGTCACGCGCGATGGTGGCCATCGTGCTTAGTTCTGGGCCCTCGTGAGATTGGGCTTCGTAGTATGTATTTGGGCCTCTAATGGGCCTACTATATTTTATTCAAATCATATATATATGCTCTATAATTAAAAATATTTAGTCTGTCCTTACTATAAAACACTGCTTATAAGAAAAATATAAATAGATTTAGAAATCCTAAGCAACAATAGTTATTCACGGACACTCCTCACCGAAAAAAATTTATTCATGGACACAAACCAAAATTATTAAAAAAATAAATCTAAGGCCTCAGATCTCTTTATTCTTTTTGTCCTTTTTTTGCATACTAACAAGAATCATCATTTGAATGCGAATTATACGAGCCATATGCCCATATCCAACACTATGCCTATTAACATTGTTTTGTGTAACTTTGTTTGGCAGCTTAGATGAAAAAATGGGGTAACTTGATCAAATCCTCGTACACCGGATAAAAAAAGAATAAGCTAATACATTCTCATAATTGAATTAATGATTTACCTTTTATTGGTATAATGTATTTTTTAAGCAATAATAAAAGAATACTTGTAAGTTTAGAAAGCATAGGGGAGAATATTGCTTGCACAAACCATAGAAACCTTTGTTCGTTCACTCTTGTCGCCTTGTAGATCAGCTTGGCATGCTCTCCCTTAGTAGTTAGGGGGCGTTTGGTATAGGAGATATTTTTTTTTATCTGAAAAAAAATATTACTGAGAATATGTTGAGAAATTTTTTTCCTAGGCAAGTTACAAAAAAGTGTTTGGTAGGCCAAAATTTTTACCGAAAATGTTGAGTTATTTTTATTATGCTATGTTTGGTTGATTGTAAAATATTTGTGGGAATCTGTACTTAAATTACAAAATTACCCATTGTGTTTGAATATTTGCTTTTAATGTTCATTTTATAAAATGACAGTCTCTTTTCATGTTCGTTTTTTCTTCAGTTCGCTTGTGCTTTAGGGCATGTTTGATGCATAGTATATGATAAGGCCTGATAGTATAAGACCTGATAGTATAAGACCTGATTGTATAAGACCTGATTGAATTTTAATACTATCCAGCGTTTGGCACAGTATTGTATAAAATAATATGTTGTATAAGATAATATCTTCTAGTATTTGGTGATACACTGTATAATACTATATAGGATAAAAATAAATAATTTTAATAGAAATATCCTTTAATAAATAATTTATATAATTCTTTAAAAAATGTCATATGATATTAATTTTTATAAAAATTTATTGATCAGTGTGTCCAAAACATAAATTAATTTTTATAAAAATAAAAATATTCAATATTTTAAAAATCAATATATTGAAAAATTAATTTTTATTTTAATATATTAATATTAAAATAATATATTAATTTTTGAGAATTACACTGGTCAACGATGTTAATACCCCAACCTCTTATCAGGCCTTATCCCCCCTTAGGCCGGATTAAGTTATACATCGTTTTGATGTATTAAGGGATCTTGCTGTATAAGCTTATATTATATGATGATCACACCAAATAACTGAAAATGTCATAACGTATAGTATAAGCTTATACTATCAGGACTTATACGTCACACCAAACATGCCCTTAACAACAAAATACATGATAAAAAATGAAGTTCATATGCAACTGCCCCTGATTTCATAATCCAAGAACACCCCACGCACTAATATCAGCAGGGACTTATTTAAATGATAAAATGCTTAGAATAATTAAAAAATGACAACATCTCAAACACAAACGAAAGAACAAAAAAAAAAAACAAATCAACCCTCTATGTGGGCAATTTTGTTATACGGGAGAAAAAAAAAACCATGGTTGAGTTGGTAATATTTTTTATAAAAATGTAGTTCAAAAAAAAATGATGGGGACAAAACTTTGCTGGCATAATTTTTGCTTTGACCCATACCAAACATGGGGAAAATTTTTTCCTCCCCTACTTTCCAAGCATTCTAAACCAAAACCTCATAACAAACACACCCTTAGGTTATTTCTTTTTTCCTTTCCTAGTGTACAACAAAAGAAAAAAAAATTATTTTATTGCGTTATACTTATTTTTCATATGTAAAATTATTTTAAATTTAATCATTACCATTTTCTATTATTATAAAATTATATATTAAAGTTATAACACATTAAGGTATAAAATAAAATTAAAAAATGTCACATATAAAGACTAAAAACATTATATTTTCATTCATTATACCTAACTTTCGTTTTTAAAATAATATCTACATAAGAATATTTCATAATAGTTTTATTCTAATCTCTTAGTATTAATATATGACAGAAAAACAATTAATAATGATTATGTACATAAAACTTATACTAATGCAAATATTTCACAAAAACTTAAATGAAAAATAAATGGAAATTAACGTTTCTCCTATAACAGAAAGTAAAGTTATTTTTTATAGCTCAAAATGTCATCATTTTGAAATTAGAAAAAAAATGAAGGATATTTTAATAAATTACATTAAACAAAAGGAAAATAAAATTACTAAAATATCTTCTTCTTTTTTCCTAAACCCCAAAATGACTTTATTTTGAAATTGTTGGAGATAATTTTATTTTCTATTCCAAAAAAAACACTTTTTCCAAATAAATGACGGATACAGAAACTGAAAATATATATCATAACTAAAAGGGATAAATAAGAATTATGTTACAGGAAACAAATTAAGATAATGCAACCACTACCGACAATACAAAGTCTTTGAATTCAATGCATCTTTCATTTTCTTTATTATCATCTAGTTTGTCATTTTCTTTTAGAAAAAAATAGTATTCCTGCAACAGGACAAAACCAAAGCCCTAACTAAAATGATCTAAAGCCCTTAAAATTTTAAGTGTTTTTCTTTTTTTTTATATATAAATTTTTTTTAAGTGTTTTAAATAAGATTTAAAGTTTGTTTAAAACAGTGGGCTTTTGGAGAGTGTTGACTGGGTCAGGCCAAAGGCCCAAGTGAAATACAGTTTCATTCATTCAGCTCCAGTCGAGTTTAGTAGAGTTGCAAAGCAAGAAGATTCAGAAGAAGTTTTAGAAGAAGAAGAAGAAGAAGATGAGCGAGACAAGGCCAGTGCCGAGGAGAGAGAGTCCATGGGGAGTGACAGGAGATAATCATCCTGAACCCAAAGCTCACCGATGCAATGACCGTCTTGAGGATATTATTCAGGTTAATCCCCTTATTCAATTCTCTTCCTTGTTTTATAAAGACTTGATTTTTCTTCAATTTTTTTGCTTTTTATTATCTGGGTCGATCTTGTTCCTGATTATTGCTGTATGCACAAGTCTATATTCAACCAAAAAGCCTTTAGGGTTTTTAAATTTGATACCTGATCGTTTTGTTTTCGTTTCGTGTTTATGCTTGATATTAATCTCTTAATCATAGTTCTACTGAAATGCGAAACAATTGAAAATTGTTGTGTAACTAGAATCTGACTAGGGCAACTTTTTATTTTTTATATTTTTTTTGGGGGTTTACTTCATAGAAATTCGTTGAGATGATTTTGAAGAAGCTAGTATCAGGTTTGTCGTTTCTCTTAGCGAGAGATGCTTAGGGAACTTGGAATTGAGGTCCAAGCTTTACAGTTTACTGGTTGACAATGGAAAAACCTTGCTTGGTGAAGAAGGGGAGAATGTACTAACACGTAGGGGTGTTCATCAACAGATCCAAACCGATTCAAACTGCCGTGACCGAACCGAAAAACTAAAAACCGAATTAACCGAAAATCGAAAAATCGAAAACCGAAAAAAAATCGCAAAATTTAATTGGATTGGATCGGTTTTTGTTTTTGGATGAGTTGGTGAAAACCGATCCAATCCAAACCGATCCAATTATTCTCCAACCTTACCATCTACCTACTTAGGACTTTTTCCAATCAGCCCAAAAATCATATAGCAAAATTCTAAATCCAAGACTCATTAACCCATCATGTTGGAGAAAGTGAGTTGTGCTTGATCTATGTTACGCTTTTTTTTTTGGTAAGATACATAATATATTTTTATTACACAGGTTATTGTTGTACAACAACTTATCTATAGGATGCAAATTTGGATTACTTCGTATCTCAGGCAACCATATTATAAATTTTTTGTTGAAAGTAAAAGATGATAATTTAACTTTTTGTTGTACAATGCTTCTAGATTGCACAATAATCATCATACAAACTTTATAAAGCCGATACATATAAAATATATCTTATTTGCCAAATAATCAGCATACAAATTTTAGGCTTTTAAAAAAATCGAAAATCGATCCAATCCAAACCGAATAAAATTGGATTGGATTGGATTCGGTTTGAAAAAAATTCAAACTGAATGGATGATTACATGATTAAACTGAAGGGATTGGATCGGATGATTTTTACTTCCAAAACCGATCCAATCCAGACCGCGAACACACCTAACATGACACATTTTCAAACGAAGATACACTATGCCCTAGTTTGCCGGTTTATCCTCCATAAAACCAGATTTTTCTGCCTTTTTTTTTGTCCTTGTCTATGGGGACTGTATTATTTTTTTTCCTTAAACGTTTTCTCTGATGCTTAATATTTCTTGAAATCTTATATTAGAAATAGAAAGCTTAGGAAAGGAGAGAGATTTACAAACTAAACCAAATGAACAAACATGACATTGAATCCTAAAAGACTAGAGAAAGTTCTTGGACAAATTTTTAGAGAGGAACATGAGATGTCATCCTTGGGAAATTATAACAGATTGGATTGGTCATGATGAAATTGCTTACATGATTTAAGGTCTGTTGTCATTTCAGCTTGTTCTCTTTATTTTATCATGTTTTTCTTATGTATTTATTTGGAGTAAACTTGCTGTTGTTATCTCTGAGTCTAAAAGGTGGTAACTAAATTGTACAGGCTTGCTTTGAGGGAAACCCATTCAAGACTGTTCCAGGACCTTTCAAGCTCTTCTGGCAGTGCATGCGTTCTAAACCTGGGTGAGATTATCGTCTAGCATGCAATTCTATCTACTCTTTGGAATGTCATTTTTTATGAACCACTGAATGTTGTGAATTAATTCAGCATTATACTTCAAGAGATCTTTCACTCTGGAGATAAATATATATGTCTATACTATTATTAATATACCAACAACACCATAACTTCTTGAAATCTGGATAAGCTTTTTGGCAAAGGATCTGCTCACATCAGGATCAAATTAACTGCTGCTTTAGATGCTGATATTTTTTTTATTACCCGGATTTGCACACCTTGTCTTGGCTTTCCCCAATAAAGTTTTCCAGTTACATCTTTGTGTATGTTTCTTTGTGTTGCTTATGACATTTGTGGCTATTGCAGGGAGGAACCAACCGAGCCATTTACCTACCTGGATTTTGATCCTCCAAAGAGAGAGTCAAAACCTGTGAAACCTGAGTAGTGCCACTTCTACAAAGTCCTTCAGAACAGATTTGGCAGCACTGCATGGAATTTTTGTGGTTTCAACTTTTCCCTTCGCGTGAATGGTTTATGTGACGATAATATGTAATTAAATTGTTTTTTGTTGCTTATTTCGCCATGCAAACTAGACGTCCCATACATCTTTCGTTCTGGACTTCGATGTTGCTTGCCCAATAAAACATGACCAGGTGCATTCTTGAATAACTTCCTTAATTATCTATTGATTACTTGTTTAATGTTATAAACGCCATTAATCAAATGCTTGCTGGATTAGTTTTTGGGTTTCACTAATTCAAAGTCTTAGTTACTTCTTATTCTACTGTCTGTATGTAAATTTAAAATGACGATATATACTTCTCTCAGTTTTGATAATGGGATGATGTGAAATCGTATCGATCTACTGATGTCTAAGACTTGCGTAAAAAAACAAGGGGGCCAATATCAAATGATTTATTTACTCAGAAGCTTTGGATTACCAAGGATAATCTTTCTTTGTATTTTGAGAGAAATTGTTGTCTAAGCGTGCATTGTTAACTGTACTCCATAGTGAGAGATGCCTTTATCTTCACTTATATATAAAGTAAAGAAAATTAATGTGCCAATTAGCAATCACAATTAACGTGTCAATCGCAATTAGCGTACAAATAGGATTAACTTTTGATTGTATCAATCACAATTAATGTACCAATCATTTCGAAGGGCCATAACTTTTGATTTGAATATTCAAATCAGATATTTTTTATTTTATTTTATATAACTTTTCGAGATCTATTCAATGACATTTCATTTGACATATTTTATCTCTCACAAACATCGTTCGAATTTGTAACAATGATATCATAAGCAATTAATGTACCGATCAAAATTAATTATGATTGATACATTAATTGTGATTGGTGATTGGTACATTAATTGTGATCAAAATTAATTGTGAATGGTGATTGATATATTAATTGTGATTGGTGATTGGTACATTAATTGTGATTAATACATTAATACAATTAATTGTCATTTTTCTTCTTTTTTTGTTTTTTTATTGTGATTAAAACATTAATTCTGATCGGGCAATGAGATTGTGCCACCTAGTACACCAAGTTCGCTACTTCTGGTAGCAAACTTCGTCCAGTCAGCTTTTCCTACAAAGTGTGTCACGTGTCACGAAATCATTGGCTACCAAGTTCGCTACCAGTCGTAGCGAACTTGGACACGTGACAGTCAATTTTTCCTGTGAAAATGTGCCACGTGTAATGAAATCATTGGCTACCAAGTTCACTGGGCACTGTAGCGAATTTGTCCGCGTGACATATTGGGAAATAATACTGTTCACGTAACATTTAGGTAAAAAAGTCAGTGAACAATAATGACATTTTAGTCACCGTTCCAAGAAAATGATGATTCTTTATGGAAAGAAGCTTAGCTAACCAAAAAACTGGTCTTTCCAATTTGGCAGTCACCCAAGAGGCTTATCTTCAAAGAAACCAAATCAGAGTCCAAGTCATGGGTCTGAAGTGGTGGTGTCACCTGCACCAATTCAAAGATAGGATCAACGGCGGCGGCGGCTGCTGCATGCCGTGCAAGGTAGGATGGTTCCTCCCAGAACAGAGGAGGAAGCGGTGGAGGACGGAAATACGATGACGAAGCCAGCGCCGCACAACATTCTGGTGAAACTGGAACATGTTTTGTTTTTTCGGGGAAAAATATAATGTTTCTTTGGGCATTAAATGATGGCGATTGGTCTCGTTCTTGTTCATATTAATCATATTTTTATGATTAATCATATTTTGTAAATGGGAAAAGTGTGTATCATTTTAAAGGATATAAAGTTGTGTCATTTTAAGTGAGAGAAAGAGATAGATAAAGAAGAAAATAGAGTGGACAAAAAAATATAAAGGCGTGAGTTCTACCTTTTTGTGAGAGTGAAAGAATATAAGTTGTGTCATTTAAAAGGATAAACATTTTTCCTTGGTGTTTTGGAAATATCAATCCGCCTATTTTATTCATCTATTTATCATAGTTTAGTTCTAATTTGTTTTCTGGTCAATGTATGGTTTCTTAATATTTGTGTGCATAAATTTATATAAAATAATGACTTTATATATTTGAACATATTTCTTACTTTTATCTTAAATTCAATTTAGTTAAAATTTATTTAAACCAGTTCTAAACTAGTTTATAAAAAAAAATTATCTAGACTTGAGCCAACTGAGAGGATTCTGGTACGTAGATGAAGAGTATATAAAATTCATTAATAGGACAGATATCCAATTAAAAAAGGGTTTGATTTTTAGGGTTTAAGGTTATAAAATTTTTAAGTCATAGAAGATACAGCATATATATAAAATTGTGTAGGGTCCATACGAAAAAAATAGAGAGAAAAATAAAATATAGGTCTCACATATTTTTATGAATCTGTGGGAGATAAAATTTATTTCCTACACAAGAAACATTAAAACCATTAAAAAAAATATAGGAAGTATGGAAACCTCTTTTTTCAAAGTTCAAAGAATGAAGTTTGCAATTGAAAAACAAGACAAGATCATGCATACGTTGAACACATGTTCCCACGGAAAACATGTGGAATGGCCATATTGATTTGATGAATTATTTTCAGTTTTATAATTATAAACGACAAGCCCCAAATGGTGAAATTATTTAAGCTTATGTAGTCTTGCATAATTTTATAATCATGCGTAATTAACTTTCTTTCAATAAAAAAATCATCTAAAAATATAAAAGGAGAGGGCCCCCAACTGCTGTCAGTTCTCTAAATATCTTAGATCTTAATAATGTGAATGTGATTGGTGGGGTTCATAGATTCCTCCGAAAAATACTAGTTATGACTGTAGCTGCATTCCGAGTGGATCCCCTCATGTGAAAAAGTAGTCATGTGATCATGTTATTTGATCACAACCACTCATTTAAAAATTATATATTTTTACCACATGACCATTTTTTCATATGAGATGATCCATTCCCAGCTGCATTTGTTTCTGTCAAAGAGAAAACAGTTTGGTACTGCCCATTATCACTCTAACCACCACTCTCATTGATGAAATTCACTTTATAAAATGACCACAATAGTATTGGCAATTTAAGCATATAACATGGTAATTCTAGTGAGGGTGATCTCTCTGAAACAAGCAAATCCAGAAGATAGATTCCTTTTGCCTTTATGAAATTTAATTTCTTAATGGAAAGTCTCTCTTATTTTTCAATAATTCTCAACCAAGCATAACTTACGAACTTGAACTCAAAACGTTTTTTGTATGAAGGTACAGTTGTCTAAATCTAGTGTATATTTGATTCAAATGTATACCAAGATTGTTTGCCTTTTTGATACTGTGTTAATGTTAATCTTACAGCCACAATTTCCTACCCAAGAAGGAAGAAATTAAACATTTCAGTATATGGATACGGGGAGTTACTAATCTCGTATTATTGGAGATAATACTCTAATATAGGTGAAACAAATATGTAGGATGCACAATTTAAAAAAGAAGAAATTGGCATAAAATTCTATGGATGTATAGCGTAAGATAACTTTCTTACACAACAACACGAGACTTATATTTCCCATGGATATATTTCTGTGAATACTGTTATTATCTGGTTTAGCTAAAATAAGAGCAATAAAAGAAGACAACAACAAAAATGTACATGGTTACTCTACTTGGGTGCTGGGTGAACTGGATTGGCCATCTGAGCCCTGGCTAAGTCTCCTTTTTTTACTCTTCTGCCTAAGTACCTCTTTGATTTCTTTTTCTCTCTTATCAACAAATTCCATCAAATCCTTGAAGCTCTTAGTTCGGATAGTCCTTTTACGGCTGTCTGGTTGAATTTCTAAGTCAGTTTCCTCAGTCTCTGGGTTGAATTTGGTATATTGACAGAGCACTCTAACAAAGAACACAATCAAAGCAAGGAAACATGCAATGCCACATATAAGAAAGAGACCCCAGAAACTACTCAGAGATAGTTTATTTGAATCAACATTATCGAGTACTGCAGCACAATCATGTTTTAAAAGCCATTTGTCATGGATCTTTTGCAGGTCACCGTTCTCAGAGAGTTGAAGAATGGCAGTTGACATATCAACAGCAAGGGGAGAGTCCCTCTGGAATGCCTGTGATCAAGGTATCAAATATGAGAATAATATACTCTTGTGTAAGATAAAGACATAACAAGCACACTCATATTAAGAGCCACAAAAGAAGCAGCTTCTATAAGTAAAAGTAATATTTATGCATATTTATATAAGGGATGGTTATATTTACAAACTTTTTATTTACAAACTACAATAAGTATGATCGGTCATACTTCAATCAAGAGTGTATGACCGGTCATACTTAGTGTAATTTGTAAAAAAGTTTGTAAACGGATCCTTCCCCATTTATATATGAACTTAGCTTACAAACTTTTTTTTTTTTTAATTATAAGAAAGTGTGATCCTAAAAACATTATAAAACAAAATCATCAAAGCATTTTGGTTTCATTTTTTATTCAGGGAGGAAGGTGAGAATTAACAGGAATGCTATTTGAACAATTACATGATGGTTGAGGAGACCATATGGTCTACAAAAATAAAATAAAAAATCCTGGTATTATGAACAGTGGATTACATTCAGCTATCATTGAAATTACAAACCTTTCTTTTATCAAAAGTTATAGCACATTTCTCACCAAAAGAAGAAAAGAAAAGAAGTTAAATGGATGAACATGTAGGAACCTAAACCATATGCATGCAAATATACTTACAAATCCCCAACCACTTTTAGTGAACTCCTGCCCAACGGTTCTGAATTTACAATTGGTATTGGACATGAAGAGCTCAATGTAAGGAAGCTCATCAACAATGGCCACAACCCCTCCTCCTTTTGGTCCACGCATAAGGGCATGAACATATGCTTCCTGATTTTTCAACGCAACTATCCTAGATTCTTGTATGTTGAGTTCATCTACCAGATACTTCCGTGCAAATGACCCTTCTTGAATACCAATTGGTTGAGTACCTGAGATCAAGCTGTCAATTCCTTCAATTTGTGATGACAGTTGCTGCACTGTGAGGATGGATGTTAAGCTAGCTGTGTAGCTTGAATTGATAATTAACACCACAAAAAGCCATATGATTAGCACCAACCGCCCAAGAGTACTCACAGTGTTCTCTCCTGTGCCAGGTCAAAACAGCAAAAAAAAAAAAAATCAGAAATTTTTATCATGTACAATACAAAATAAGTTAAAAGGGTATAGCTAAAAATATAGGAATGAGAATCAGTGGGGCACATACTGTGTGAGAAAAACATTGTTGAGAAACTAAACCTGCAAAAGAGGAACTAATATCAGTAAAAGATGTTACTTGATGTTAAAGCAAGCCATGCATCTCCTTAAACTTAAAGAGAAGAATTGTGCCTAGACATTCTGTGCTGGGACTGGATATTCAGAGAGAGATTCATTTATTTTCAGAGGTTATTCTTCTAGAGGTAAAACAAAAAGGGAAAAAAAAGAAAAGAATAAACAACTAGGAGATATGAAATCATATATTAACCAAACGTGATACTATTGTATACTGAATGAAAGAAAAAAAATTACCTCAATTCTGAATAACAAATTACAATCCCCTATTCAATGGCACGCAATATGCAATGATAAATAATGGTTGCAATGTCAAAGACACCCTGGTAATAACCAGGTTCATTACAAAGGAGCCCTCATCATATTCCAAAAGATTCAGCTGAAAAAGGCTTTCAAATGGTCAAAACATACTAACCAAAAGACTGTAGCAAGTTGTTTCGTAGGCTTGCCTCGGAACTCCGGATTGTGCCGGTGCTCAAGAATCCATACAACGGTTCCCACAAAAAGAAAAAAGGCACCAGTAACACACCACATTTGAGCGGTGAATGGCTTGAGGAAAGACCAAGGACTTGATCTGATCTCCTTGACAGGAACAACAACCACCAACCCTGACTCCATGTAAGGTTGAGTAAAATCCAAAATCCTTGTCCTGTTTGGGACAATTGTAACATCTCCTACAGCTGCATCAAAGTTCTGAAGAAGGAAAGGACCAAAATAACATAACTATTATAATTTGAAGAGACCTGAACCACCCTTGGAAACCACAAACTCTATTCTAGTTACTACATTTAAAAAGTATCCACAATTGGAATCCATATTATTGCTACTTGTAGTCCTTGTTGTGCCATACATTATTGAAGCTGATATAAGAAATAGGATCACTAAATTAGGCTGCAAATTATATTAGAAACTTACATTTAGTGCAACCTGATTCACAAGGCCGTCATAGCTGGGGTTTTTATCACCATGTCCAAATAATATATATTCTCGTGGCACAGCATAAGGCAACAAGTTTATGGCTGCTTCAAAGACATCAATGCAATAGCCTTTTACTCCAGGGGGGTTCTTGTCTTTAGCAACAAACTCCAAGTAGTCTACTCGGTAAGGCACTGCTATTCGCAATGGCTTTCCATTGTTGGGGAATACCCACCCTCTTGGTGTAGCTGTAGTTTCTCCAGGCCATATAACATTGTGCAGTTGTTGGTTGCTTGTTGAAGTGTTAGGAGGTTTCTTATACAAGATTTCTGGAGCTAAAACTGATAAACCGGAGTAATTAGACCAATAACCAATTCTCCGGGTTCCAAATCCACCAATGTTGAGTATATCATATGCTGGACGAATTAGATTCTTTTCCATATCAAACTGAATTTGACCACTCAAACCAGTGAAGTTCATTCTCAAAAGTGTCTGCAGAAACAATGGACCACCTTCAAAAACACGAAGTGATGATAAATGCAACATGCTTCCATTTGTGTCATGCAACTTAGGGTCGGAAGAGAAAGATATAATTCCACCCTCTTTGAGGAAAACATCTAGAGCATAAGCTGCTAACCAAACAGAATCATATGCATATAATGCATAAGAATTGAAGCTTGCAGTTTCCTTGCCTTTTGAGTTCCTCAACCTATTGACAAAACTCTTTTTGAGATTAGTATCAGGAGTGTGGTGGCGAAAAGCAACAACCCCTTGTAGGAGATTCAAAGTGTCAGTGTCAACTGCTACTACTGAATCCAGCACTGAAGGAAGCCAATCTGTTGCAATCCACACATAGCCGCTGGTCATCATTCCTAGCTTCTTTGCAATAGAAAAAATTGACAAACCAGAATCAGGATTAACATGCAGAACATAGACCCGTGATTCCATTAAGTTTACACCATTTAACAAGTCACTGATATCACTATTGGTGGCTTTAGGAAGTAAGGCAGCTTTGTAAGAGATCTTGGCACGTTTCTTTGCAAGAGCATCTCCCAGTACTGAAATTCCATTCCTCCCATTATCATCATCTACAAAAATGGCAATTACCTCCTTCCATCTATAATAATCAACAAAGTCTGCAATTGCATACATCTGAAAATAGTCACTCTGGGTGGTGCGCACAAAATATGGGTACTGCAGAGAAGTTAGAGAGGGGTCTGTTGCACCAAATGAAAGAAGAGGTACATGGAGTTCATTAACCACATGAGAAATTATATGTGCTATTCCAGAAGACTGTGGACCAATAGCAGCAACCACTTCATTCTCCATCAACTGCAGAGCTACATGATCAAGAAAATCAATGAAGCCTGTTCACTTCTTTTTCAAACACACGTGCAAAGAGGGGACAATGAGAGAATATGTAAGTATAATCCACCTATGAACACCTATTCAATGAAATACTAAGATGTTGTTGATGAATGGGAATAGGTTTCTGTTCACTACATGATTTGTCTATCCGCAAAGATGTGACACAAATATGGTCATGATTATGCATACCATGCTTTATTTGAAACCTTGTCCAGCTTTACAGCTACAAAGTGTGATTTAACAAGAAGTATCAAACATTTCACATGCAAAGAAACACCTCTAGCAGAATGTGATTTAGCAAGACTGAGAAGAAAGCATTAAAGCAAAGTAATTCTGCAAAAAACTGAATGATATTCTTAAAATAAAAGTCATACTTTTTCACATGGCAATTCATAAGAGTTACAAAATTGAACATGATTATAGATAGAATCAAACATATATATGCTTTGAAGAAATGGTCCTAGATGACAAGAAGATTACATTCATATTGCATGAAGAAATTATGTAACATATAGTTGATAAATAAGACGAAAACCAAATTGTGAAAATAAAGATATTCCTCCAAAACAAGACCTCAAAATTGAAAAAAGGCACATTTTCTTGTAGCTACTGAAATTCAAGTTTTTTGGAAATACCTTCCACTGTTCCAAGAAACCCACTGCAATTTGTATTATGTACAATAACTTCCATTTTAATACCATGGAGAATGCTCGTATTAGCATTAACATCATCAACAGCAGCCATAATTGCAGCTTTAGCCGATCTTCCAATGACAGAATCGAAAGTAAACAAGGCTCCAATCCTCAAAACACTTGGTCTGGAAGAAATAGTAGAGTTTGCAATGGTAGTTCCTGTCCTTCCAACCACTTCCGTAGGAATCCACAAGCAGAAAACCAAGAGGAGGAACAAAGTCCAACCCTTAAACATGACAACCTCCATTTTTTGAGAAAAGCTTTGAAAGCCTGCGATTTGCAGTTCAGTTTAGACCACAATCAGAACTAAGACAACACCTTTCAAGTGCCAACCATAGCTACCCACTTACCCAGAAGAAAACACAAGAATATCTTAGTTCAGCAATCCAAGTACTCTAACCACTCATTCATGTAGAAAACATAAAACACCCAACAAAAACAAACCACATGGTTCAGCAATTTGGATATTAAATTTTAGATACTCACTTACCCAGATGAAAAAAAATTAAAAAAAAAATTAAAAAAATATGCCATGAGCATATCCAGATTTTGTTTTTTTTTTCATTAAATATATGCTTAAATAAATTACTATCATAAGTTATTTATAAGCCAATCATGCTCAGAAATTCCAAAGTGAAAACAAATACTGAAACATTAAAATAAGTTAGCAGTGTGTTGGCAAGTGAAGACCCCACAAGGCTAATAATATATTTGTTAACATAGGGAAAGAAACAATATAATATGCAACAAGTGACCTCGAGAACAAGTTAGGGAGAACTGGAGAAGAGAGTATCTGAGATTTCCTCGAGGCCAAACTTACAGAGATAAAAAAGCTTGCAAATGAACTGTTATATATGCATGTTAAGCAATAAGCATGTGATTGAAGACTAAAACAAATCACTGTCACTAACCAAAAGAAGGAAGATATGCCTTCTTTAAAACTCAAAGCAAAGAATCATTCACATCCTTTCATGTTTCAACCATCAAACATCATTGTCTTCCCTATCAAAGTATTGTTTTCATGCTACGAAATGTTTATGCGTTTTATTATGTTTTGTATACGAAATTAAGGGAATGTTATATTTATAAATTTTTTGTTTACAAACTCTTATAAATTATATTAAGTATGATCGGTTATACTTCAATCAAGAATGTATGACCGGTCATATTAGTGTAATTTGTAAAAAGAAATTGTAAACAGATCATTTCTCGTAAAATTATGTATGTAACAGTGACGTTTGATTTTTTTATTAAATATATTCTTAGTTCCAATAAAAAACATTTAATATAGTCTCACTCTCAAGTCTTAATATCTACAATTATTTTATAGTCACGGCGTTATTACCGTCAAATATTGTCTCAGTGAGATTGATATATAGTTTTTATCAATATGTTATAAGAAAAAAATTATCTCATGTTACAGAAATAAAATTATATATGGGACTCACAAATAAAAGGATAAAGAAAAAAAAGTGGTGAAACCCAATTCTTTTTTGTATATGTAAGAAAATTATTCATCTCATGTAAAATGAGATAAACAAACCCATAAAAAAATTATTAAAAACAACTGTAACATATAAATTAAAAATATAATATTTATAGTTTTTAAACATAATACTTATTTTTAACTTAATCTGAGTATATATTATAAAACTAACAAATAATATTATCATTAGTTAATATTATAATGATAATAAATAATAAAATATTCATTTTTACCGGATTAAATTAAAAACATAAGTAAATTAAAATTGTATTTGTCTTTTTTCTTTTAGTTGATGAAAATTAGGCGTGTGCACAGTTTAACTCAATTAGATTTTTTTATATTAAATTGAAAAAGTGGTTTGGATAAATTCAATTGGTTTTAAAAAGATATTTTTCTAATACAATTTTTTTTTTGTTTTTTTTTTTTCACGACCTTAATTCGTCAACGTGACGATATTATTGATATATGATGCTGACGGCATAGCCAAAAAGATATGTCCACGTTATTGTATGAGAATAATTTTGTTTGCCACACATTTAGATCGAGCGGTATACTGAGAGGATGCCATTGTTAATAATGACATGACCACGGACCACCCAACACAGACAGAAGAATATGACAAAATGTATATATTCTGATATCAGAGAAAAAAACAATATCTCAGAATTTATTTAATTGTAAATATTAAATAAATTTTAAATGAATAATAGTAATATAAAATAAATATCAAAATAATAGACTTAAGAGTAGATAAAATTAGGATAACCATATGTACCAACAACAAAAAAAGGATAAGCATCGAAATACTAAATTATGCAGTTGTTGATTTTACGAAGGAGAAGAAAAGCAACAATCATAAAAATTATTTAGCAAATATTATATTATAAACATTAAATTTTTAAAATCTTTTCACAGTTGTGGGACATATTCTATTAATCATGTATAACAAATGATTATAATAGAAAAATATTATTCCAAGCCTTTTGAATATGGCAACGAAAGACATTGTCAAAGTGGAAGAAAGTAAAATCGAACAGATTACCATCACTTTTACTTTAAAGTAATTATTATAATTATAATGCAGGATAGATATAGATATCGTTTCTCTGAATACTTCTGAATGGATAAATAATCATTTTTGGGTTAATAATACGAAATTTACTATTATAAATTGAAGTAATTAAAAATATGTTTTCTGTTTAAAATTTAAGAGTTTTTCTGGATTAATTATCTACAAACACATAGTAGAATTATATTTACAAATTTTTTGTTTACAAACTCTTACAAATCACATACTTATGTACTACCCATAGTACATAGTGTAGTTTGTAAACAAAAATTTGTAAATATAATCTATATATATATATATATATGATCCCTAACTTCTCATGTTGTAGGAGAAGAAACTTCTCTTGCAACCTATTAACACTATGTACTATCGGTAGTTAGGCGTGAAACTGGGCTGGGGCAGCCTATAGGGACCTATGGCTCGACCTACGTCAGGCCAGACCTAATCTAGTATATTTCATAAAATAGGTCGGACTTGGGCCCTGAAAAAGCTTGTTTAATAAAAAGAACGTAGACCCACTTTCAGAAGGCCTGACCTATAAGCCTACAGGCCGACCTATATTATACTATTTATTTTAAATAAAATAAAATAGAATAAGTATGCCTTGAAGAAAAATAAAAGATATAAATTTAATCAATTGCAATTATTTATAACTTAATTATATTTGATTATATTTTAATAGAAATCTGATTTTATTTCTTATGTAGGAGGAACCAACATCTTAACATGTTAGATTGTGTATATGAATATAATAAAAGGTTTTTGGGAGAAGTTATACTTACTACAAGTATCGTGATGTGTTTGTTGGATTCATGTAGTTATTTTAATTTACATAGTATGGATTTGTTTGTTGGATCTGTGAAATATATGTTATTTAATTTGAACATTTCGCTTTTGAAAGTGACTTAAATTCAGATTGTATGAGTTTTGTTGTGATTCATGATTCTGTTGGGACGTTGAAATTATGATTTTTGGTTTAGCAACAGAATTTGAGTATTTTGTAAAGTTGATTCATGGTTCTGCTTGGAAGTTAAAAATTAACAGGCTAACGGGCTAGGCCAGACCATTTGTTTTTTTATAAACGGGCCAAGTCAGGCTAACAGTTAAACTCGTACTAGGCTTGGGCCATGCCAAATTGAAATTTTTTGGCGTAGGCTTGGGCTTTTCGGGGCAAAGTTGGGCCCAACCCAGCCCACTTTCACCCCTATCGGTAGTATATATTTATAATATTAAAGTTGATTTTTCTCTTTTTACCACGTCAGCTGACAACCTCTGAGGAGAGAAAAAATAGCTTTTAAAATTATAACTATTCGCTATCCTTAATACATAGTGTTAATTTGTTGCAGGAGAAGAAACTTTTTCTGCAACCAATTAACACTATTTACTGCCGGTAGTACCTTAGATCCGGTCACATGACAAATTATTTTGCCATATATATATATATATATATATATATATATATATATATATGAGTAATAAATAGTTATAATATTAAAATTGTGTTTTCTTTCTTTCTCTTAAAGAATTTAACTATGTACTACGGGTAGTACATAGTTAAAATATTAAAATTATGTTTTTTTTCCTTTTTCTTTAAAATTTTTACTATGTACTACAAGTAGTACACAATTATAATATTAAAGTTATTTTTTCTCTCATATGTCACCCAACAACTGTCTGAAATGTTACTGAGTAGAGAGAAAAAAATAGTTTTAATATTATAATTATGTACTACCGGTAGTACATAGTTAAATTTCTCAAGAGAAAAAAATACAATTTTAATATTATAACTATGTATTATCCCTATTACATAGTTATACTTTTTTGACCGTACTAAACCTTTTGTCAAGTCACATGACATCCGCTTAACCACATCCGCTTAACCATATATATATATATGGGTCAGGATCATTTTACACCGGTGTAAGTTACACTCTCAATCTTGACTGTTGAGTCCACGTATATCTAAGGGCTCTAATTTTTTAGTAATGTGAGTCATTTGATACAAGTGAATCAATGATCAAGATTGAGTGTAAGACTTCTAACTCTTACACCAGTGTAAGAATATCCTGCCCCTATATATATACACACACGTGAAGATCATTTTACACCGGTGTAAAAAATAACAATTCTTATACTACATCTTAATCGTTGATTTCCGTGCATCTAACGGTTAAGATTTTATTGGGTCATATTAATTAATTAATTATTATGACTCAATAAATCTTAACCGTTAGATGCACGAAAATTAACGGCTAAAATATGGTTAAGACTTGTTATTCTTACACCGATATAAGAATAACATGCTGCTATATATGATAACCCACACCTGTATAATAAGGAAATGAGGAATGAGGGAATTTGCATGAAGGTATAATGACTTGAGATGTGCATGAGATATGGTATTGTAATAATGACTTGAGAGTCACGTAAAAGGCATAGATTCCTAATGAGGGTGCATAAACTCATATATGTTGTGGATGTAAGAGCTACCAAGTTTATTGGGCATTGGTTAGCCAAGTCAATTTGATTTTAAGGAAGATATTTGGTTTGGGAAACACTCCAAATATAAGTATACCCATTATTAAGATCCATTTTTCATATCCTATATGATAGATTTGGATCCCTTGGTATTGATGGAAGTTATAGATCTTTCTCTTAGCTTTCCAAAGAGGCCAAGATTGAATCAATTGGATAAGTATAACTCAAGTTATAGTTGAAACAACAAAGTAGGTTTCAGTCCCTTGTTCAGGTGGCAGTGTCTTGTTCCGCGGCTCTTTTGGGGCCACAAAACAGTGGTAAAATGCATCCTTGGCACTGCTAGCACCAAGTTGGCACT